GTCAAAATAGACCACTTTCCTTTGAGTAATATTTACCAAAACTACCCTGACTTTTCATAAATCTCAGAGATGTTCTATAAATGTACAACCAGAAGTGTTGAGGCCGAAAGCAAAAGATAAACATAAAACAACTATAAATAGAGTTGGGATCTAATTTTTCCAGGTTTTTCTGTTTGAAAGGCAAATAAAAAACAACAAGGGTTAATGAGAAATATCAGGGTGGACAACACTGACTCCTCACAAAAACAGGTGTGAGCTGGAGCACATCTGGTGAAGGTGACCATCAAGGACAACGCTTTCTTGTCGTTTTAACGACTCCAGGCCTACAGGACGAGTGAGTGAGGCAGTGGTGTGGGCGAGTCAGCACGGAGGATAAAAGCTGGTACAGGAGGAAAACTTCCATGTGGGACGGACGGACACACACACACACACACACACACACACACACACACACACACACACACACACACACTGAATATTGTATGAGGTTTTCTCATGGGCCAATGCAGAGCACACGGGCACACACACACAAAGAGAAAGCGACACACACTTGAAGACACAAACGTGTGCACGCACACAAACAGAGCCAGTGGAGCTTGGGCTAATGTGGCCCAGAGCTGCCCAACGCCCTGCCACGACACACACACACTTCCTCTCTCTCACACACACACTTGCATACACTTAGGAGCCATCTGCAGTTGGAGATACCGCTTAGAGAAAGACTTTACTGCTGACAATCTGAGGCAGGCAGGAAGAGAAGGGCATGGAAAAAGGAGGAAGTTGTCGAGAATCAGGAGATCAGGAGCAAAAGGAGCCAGGAAAAGAGGAAAGGAAGTCCGAAAATGAGGTGGAGGGAAAGTACGGTCTTAAAGTCCTGCATCGAAGTTTTACCTCCAACCCACTCGAAAGACAAAACTGCTTCACCGACACTTTTGCTGAGGGTTCAGCAATTACTGGGCCGAAACTCTTATTGGATGACATTCCCTTTGGATGCATTCGGTTGGCCCTTAACACCCTGCGCCCTTCTCCGCTAAATTAAAACATGGTGTCAAATTAAATGACTGACAGCTTCTCTCAAATGGAACACCAACGGGCAAATTCTCATGCAAGGTTTGGTTTTTCCTAAAAATAAAGAAATTTATTGTAAACCACGTAATGACAGGAACGTCATAATTCCAACACAACATAGCTTGCAACTAAAAAAACTGCATGCAGTTTAAACAAATGAGTGAACTAAGTTTGAAAAGTGAAACCACCAGAATGCACCAGAGATTTAAACAGAAAAAAACATTTTTCTGTCCACACAGATCAATCAAATCAAGCCAGCTTAATAAAACTAAAGTTTGATTTTAACAAAAGAGCTCTGATGATGGTTGAAAAGTTCTCCCATAGTAAAAAAATGGCTGACAATCAAAACACCTGAGACACAAATCCAATCCCAGTGATTGATTTAGATGATCGCGAATAACTTCAGCGATATTGGAAAAGAGTGACTCCTTAGAGAGGGCAGAGGTCATTCCAGCGTCCTTGGGGATCAGAAAACAAATCCAACAAATCTCCAAGCCTCTGGGCTACTTCCAATAAGATTTTTTTTTTATAAAACAGGCTCAAAAGCTGCAAGTACATGTGATCAATTGCTGACGCTCTCGGGACACAGTTTGGAAAAGCTCATTTCGTAAATGTTGGAAATAAAAATCTAGCAAAGAACAAAAGATTGAAACTAAAATTTTGATCTTTTTGGTTGTTTCGGAGGGTTTTGGAAGGTAATCAACCCTACTCAGGTTTGGATTACAACCATTATAACTAAATAAAAAAATCAGGAAGCTCAAAAATATCTCCGGTTGTGTTGTTTCCCAAATTAGTATCCTCATTTCTGGTCTACTGGTGTCATTTTTCAGGAATTCAACACCAATCTGACCAGTTGGAATGAAAACAAATAACAAAATAAATAGATAAATAAAAACTAGGTGACTTCACGCTGATCCTGTTTGCGGATGACTGAAAGTCCTGCAGCAAAACGCATAAAAGCAAGAGAGAAAAATATTCAAAGGCGAGTCGGACGCGGCTTTAGGTCAACGCTCCATAGGAAGCATAAGTGCAGTGCTGCAATGTGCGCGGCTCGGTGAATCATACCTAACCGTCTCGTGTTGAATTCATGAGAGGGCCATTATGTAGAGAAAAAAAAAGAGGGTCAGCTAGGCGTGTGAGTGTGCTGCATGTTCGCCTGAACAGCTCCAGCACAGCAAAGGCAAAAGAAATGTAGAGAAATAAATTCATATATTTAAAACTCTACAACTGGCCTCACACCTTCTCCCCTAACCTCAGCTTCAACAACCAAACCAATGTTATTTTCCACCGTTTGAGACGGATTATTTTGTCTATATTGTGGTCCCTTTGGCGCGTTGCCCATGTTGCCGTTGTTGCAGTGCCAGAGGAGGGGGAGGCCCAGCTGTCCCTACCTCTGCTCGCTCCGTGAAACGCTATGAGGAGCTTTAACGCCAGTAGGCTGAGCAGAACCCTTCTGAAATAGACTAAAGCGCTCAGGTCCACACTAGGCCCCGGAATAATCTAAAACATGATGTAATGACAGATTTAGAGGAGAAGGAGAAGAAAAAAATGTCATTTGGAAACTGACTTATGCTTAGTAATTCTACACTTTGCCTTTAGATGGAAGTGGAGTTTCTAAACTTTGACTGGTCAAACAATTTCCTCCACTTGTTTATGTTAAGATAAAGTTTAGCACCCTTTGGCTTTTGCCCAAAGCGTGATTCAGATCTTCCCAAGAACCTCTTGGCTTAAAGTTACTGTAGCTACAAGGTTATTTCTCCTTATTAAATGCAAGCAGGGGTAATCAACATCTCACAGGATACAAAATCCACCTCAGCTGTTGCTTTTCTTCATTAAAAAATCTAAAATAAATCTCAGAAACATACGAGACATTTATTGGACTTAAAGCTTTAGATCATTTGGGACTGAATACAAAAGAAGCAGGTAGCTACTAGGAAAATGAACTGGAGTTAATAAACTAGACAGGGCTTAACAATGTCTAAATGTCATTCTGGTGAGGGTCAGATTAGATTAGTTAAGATTAAATCTTAATGGTTCTGCTGCAGAATGGATGAAAAACCCAGTAGGATACATAGGAAATGATAATTGTTCAGCCCTGTTATAAAAACAAGAATATGCATGAATAAATGAAAGCATCTGGGAAGCCCAACATAGACACTTTTTGACTTAAGGTCATTACTATTAAAGGTCAGCTTTACTCATATTTCTCATACATTTGCGGTTGTCTATAGGTGGAATTAATGCCTTGCAAGTCCTTCTCTGGGTGAAAAAAAATGTTCAGGTGTTCCTGTTTCAGGACACAGAAGACATACTGGAGGGAAAAGTGGCAGAACACGGCAGGATTTGGAGTCCTGTTTCCGATATTTGGACATCTCGCCTTTGATTGCTTTACGTTGGTGTTTTATCTCCACAAATAACACAAGTCTGAAGGAGTTTTGCCATGTGGTGGAGTTGTTAATGCTAATAGTTAGCTTCTGCTAGTCGAAACATTTGCTGTTTCTTGGACACTAAACCAACAACAACCTTCTCTGTTGCAAGCCAAGATGGGTGAGTCCATGAATGTTAAGAGACAGTGTGACGTAGATCTGTCAGGATTTTTAAATCCTAGCATTTCACCATTTATTTTCCATCAGAAGCTAATGCAGGAAATAGGCGTAGAAGATCCAAATGGATTTGAATGAAGGCAACTGGACTTCTTTGGTTTCTTGAAAACATTTGGTTTCTCATCCGAGGAGCTTTGTCAATTCTGACTGGAATATGGGGGTCAAGCTTATAAACTGTAGTTGTCTAGAAATGAAACTATCTATGAATACTGATCCTTTTCATCCCCCACCCCGATGAGTTGTTGATGTCTATTGTGTAAGAACGGCTGTTTTGATTAGCTTGACTCTCCCATCTTCCAGTCATAATTGACAAAGATTCTCAGATAAGAAGCAAAACGTCTTCAAGAAACCAAAGAAGTACACGTAGGCTTCATTTGAACTCTTTGGTTAACCATGACCTGGACAACTAAGAAGTAGGGATGCAAAGATATCACTTTTTTCCAAACCGATACAATACCGATACTTGGATCTGAGTACTCGCCGATACCGATTACTGATACAGATACTTCTACCACACAAAATATGCAATGAATTGGAATACAGGTTTTATTTTCTACCCTGCTTTCAACAGGAAAAGACTGTGAGGTAGATATAAAATATATTAATATATTAATAGAAATTATCATAAAACTAAAATATTAGGTGAACACAAATGACAAGTTACAGTGAAGCCACTTTCAGGCAACTGCATTGGTGTCGATTCCTGGTATCAGTTAACTTTTACCGATACTGGTATCGGTATCGGCTTGATACCGATACCAGTATCGGTCGGTGCATCCCTACTGCATAGGGGTAGAAAACTCTTTTCATATTCAGCCTGCATGAAAAACTCAGTGATCCATTCTAATCAGTAATTATTAAAAACGTTTTTTCTGTGAAGTTGATCTTTAAAGTATTGCTTTTATTAGCTTGTTTAAGAGAATTTCTAATTTATTTACCTTGATAAACAAAACAGTAAATTAAGATTATGAAAAAAGCCTTAATTACATTGCTCTGTTTATGATACAGAACGAGGAAAAGTGATGGGACATAGCGGTCACACGAGTCATGTGAGCACGTGTGCACATGTGCGTGCACGTGTGTGTGTGAGATCCATCAGGGGACTTAACAACTACCTGAAAAAAACTGTCAGTGAAGAGAGCTTCCTACTCTCAAGGAAGTAAAGTGAATATTCATATTTTTTTAAACTAAAACATAACATCACATCAGTCTGTTTGGTTCAGGAAAAATAAGCAGAGCCGGAATCATCAAAGGCGGAACAGGATAACAAAAACGGTAGTGAAAAAATTCCATTTCCTCCCACATTTCCCTCTAAATCCCACGCTTTACCTCAATGATGTCTGCATTAGTCCGGCTTTCGTGGGGCTCGTTGTACTCGGTGTACTTGAGCAGGACCTTGTCCATGTCCGTACTGGCGTACTGAAACAGCTTGTTGGAGTGGTTGAAGATGATGAGAGCGATCTCACAGTCGCACAGGACGCTCAGCTCGTACGCTTTCTTCATCAGACCAAACTTCCTCTTAGTGAAGGTCACCTAGGAAATAATTAAAAAAAAGAAGTTTAATAAAGAAGCATGTTGAGGGATTCATTTAAATTCTAGTTAATCTTTGATTTTTCAAGAATTAATTTAGAATCTGTAAAAAAAATGAAATAAAAAGGACTAACTTAATCTATTGAAGTTTTCTTTCATTTTTTTCTTTTTCAATTTCCCCTAAGAGGCTCATTTGCATCGCCTGAATCACACTAATGCATCTACAATTAAACAGCCAATGTGTTCACCTCTTGCTCACGTTTTCCAAAACAAGGAAAAACTCAACTTTTTTGTAACTCCTCTTTTTTAGCATCTTCTTTAGAGATGCAGAACATATTTCATCCAAACATATGTGACAGATTACTGTACCAAAAATGTTTAAAATCAGAAATACCTGTGGTCCAAAAGGGTTTTCCAAAGTTCTTTCCTATTTGTTCAAGCTGGACTAAAACCAAAGAGCAAAAGTCAGAAGCTGCAGGTTTGAGTCGTGTCTCTGACCTCGCTGTGACCCAGTTTTTGGCAGAAAAGTAAAAAAGCGTGTTTCCCAAAATGTTGAGCTTTTTGCCCGAGGCTTGTTTTCATATCGTCCCAAACCAGAGCTGTTCAAATTGACTCCGTTTAACAGAAATTGAAAGACTTTGCTTTTCCAGACATCAGTCACTGTTTTATTACCATGGATCCTTGTGATCTTGTAAACATTCAAAAGAGATGTTTTAATTAAGGGAAAGAAGATGCCTCCCCTACCTAAGTACTAAGTACAAACGCACGCACACACACACACACATACACACACACACACACACACACACACGCACACGCGCACACGCAAACACAGTGGCTTTCACTTCCCTCCACATCATCTCTTCTCGTCACATTCAGCCTCCCTGTCAATTTCACACTCTGCTATGCTCTTTTATATGCTCTCTTTCTATGTCGCACATGCTCTCGTGCCTTCTTTTCCACACTCTCCTTCTGTCTCACATTATTCCTCTCTTCCAAATGCGTATACACACACACACACACACTCGTGTACAAGCCCGTTCAGCTGTGAACATGCTGAGCAGAGCTGGAAGTGTTGCTGAAGCACAGGGTCCCTTGTTGTCTGCCGATTGGCTTTAGAAGTGCTTCTCTGCTTTAACCAACTGGTATTTACAATCCTGGGAGATTTGGCTTTGTTTGGATTAAACACCCAGGATTGCAGAAAAACAAACACACACACACGGAGAAAAAAGATTAACGGAGAGAAGAAAATGCTTCAGGTACGGCTACAATTTGTGCCGTGTGATGTAGGAGAAACTGAAATTAAAGTAAATCTGCACAGAAATGGAGTTGGAGAAAAAAATGGAGAGAATTTCAAACATGCTTCAACATGTTTCAGGCCACTCCCACAAGTGATGTCATAGTTTCCATCAAATGCCAAAATGCCCTGCTGCTTGAGGTCATGACCTGAATAGCAGCATGTTAGCAGTAGCTGAAAATCCCGCAGAAGTCAAACCATTCTTTTTTCTTTCAGTTCTTATAATAGTTTTTATTTAGAGTCAAAACTGCAATATAAAACATGCTAATTAGGTTGGACGATTATATCTGATTATTGGAGGTCCTGACCTTTGGTTGGATCAGGAGAGGATATCTACACTTATTCTACCAAAGCTGCAGGCTAATAAAACAATAATGTAGGACACATGTTCGTAATCAATGCATTTGCGGTGATCTCTAGTAGGAATGAATGCCTCGTAAGTCGTTCTCGGGGGCGAAATATACAGATGCACCATTTCTCGGATGTAAAAGTTGCCCACTTCGCAGCTGAGCTTCAGACGACTGACTGGATAACAGCAACACAACTCTACCACTGACTTGCAACACTGATGTTTTATCTCCACAAAAAAGGCTGGAGCAGCTTCTGCTGTGTGGTGGTGTTGCTAATGCTAAAGGCAGAGCCGTGTCCAGGACTTTTAAAATGGGGTGGCCCATGTGGGGCACTTGTTTATTCATGGGTGGCACCAATGGTTATGCATATTTATTTACACAAATTGTTTATTTATTTACTTTCTAGTGAATTTTTGAGTTTCACATTGCACAATCACCATTTTTTCCCCTCTTCATCTTCTACTTTGGTGGTGGTTAGCATGTCACTTCTTGTTGCATGACTGCCACCAACTGGAGTTGAGTGGGACTCTAAATACTATTTATGTGAATATGAAAAAATATTAAATAACAGTAACACTGCATGCCTGGGCTAGAAAACAAGGTGAAAGGTGCATGCAGCCACACACTATTTTGGAGTTTACAACCCAAGACGTTTGTCGACAATGTAAAGTCAATTTAAACTGGAACTTAGTGAGGTGGCACCTGGGGTGGCCAATCAGATTCTAACGGTGGCATGTGCTACCCCAGGCCACTCCCTGGACACGCCCCTGGCTAAAGGTTAGCTTAAACTAGCCGAGGTCTTCTCTGCTGTTTCCCAGACGTTAAAACATCAACAGCCTTCTCAGAAAAATCTGAAAAAATACTTTAAAAAAGCTTTTTCAGTCAACCAAACTAGTCATACATGTAAGAAAAATAATTTTACAATGAATAAAATATTAAATGTTTGATTTGATCATATTTAAACTTGCCTATCTCTTGTGTGAAACGCCTATTCCAATCCAATCTTTTTATTTTTCATTTTTTACTTTTGGTTTGTAGCCTGGAGATGTGAAATGTAAATTTTCATTGCAAAACTTTTTTCCAACTAATCTGAAAACAAGACAAAGAATTTTTTCTGTTGAATCTTTAACCAAATTGCATTTTTATTAAATGTGATAATTTAATTAAAACTTCATAAAATATTGGTAACTAACTGATTGAAGAAGTGTCTGGATGAACCACTAAACTCTAGTAACTACAAGTTCATCAAAATAAAAGTCTGTCCAGATAAAAATGACAAAGATTATTAAAGTAAAGCAGTATTGTTGTTGCTACCCTCCAAAGCTTTAATAATATCAATAAATGAATGCACCAACAGTGAAATCAGTTTTCCTGCAGAGACGCCGACTGCTGCCTGCTCTCCTGGTTCTACGGCTCTGAATTGAAACTATAATTGAAATTAATTGAACGAGGAAAGAAAGAGAATAAAAGATGGGGAGGCGGAGATAAGATAAAGATGTTGACGATAAAAAAAAAAAGAAGAAACCGTCAGAGACCTCCGATCTCTCCATCTTTCCCTCCTGTGATCACTCCATCTCGCCTATCTCAAGTTTCTTTCTGCTTCGGCACCTGACATGTTTAAGCTTCGCTCATCACTCATCTCTTTGGCTCCTCTTATTTCCTCGCCCTCGTTTTCTCTTCCTCTCCTCTGTCAGTATTTTCCACATCCTCTCCCCGACGCCCCCCTCCTTTCGCGTTAGCTCACTCATTGCTTCCTGCTGCCACAAATCAAATTATATCGGGGTCGTATCCATGGGTACCAGACTCCCCCTCCTCTCCTCCTGCGTCCCCTCTGCCCCCACCACATTTCCCACCTCATCACACATTGCTACCATCATCTTACCTCCCGTAACCCCCCTCCACCACCACCAGCATGTCATCTTTATCTCACTATCCATCTACACCCCCCTCTTCCTCCCTTTCTCTCTCATGCACACACATACACATTGACACACACATACAGAATAAGCAGATAAATTACGTGGCGATGCTGGAAAGGGAGGAAATTACAGCTGAGCAGGATGACAGGAATGGTTGGTGATGAAGAGACAAGCTGCCGCAAACAACAACTGCTCTGCCGAACAAATTATAAGGTCATCCAGCATCCCTGAAAACAAACAAAATTAGTCACAACGTCCCAGACAAATCTTTTTGTTTTTCTAGCTTCTTCTCATCACAGAAGAAGTAGGCAGTGGGGCAGAGGCTCTGGGCCAAAGCTTCAATCTGATGTCTACTTCTGAGAATAAACAAGCTGGAGGTAATTAACATTAAGAGCAGAATTGCAAGATAACCAATAGCAGCTGAAGAATAAAACGTCCTAAATAAGGAGCGAAAGAGAAAGAGAAAGGAGGCAAGTGGTTTTATTTGCACGTGCGTGTGTGTGTATGTGTGTGTGTGTGTGTGTGTGTGTGTGTGTGTGTCTTGGCGAGGTTGTGGTTGTGCGGCAGATGGATGAGGAAACCACCACTGACAACCGCAACCTCCTCTCGCTTTTTCCTGTAGCCAAAATCTCTTTCTTTTGCGAGCTTGCAGTTCAGATAATCAGATCTGAACAGCCGAAGCAGGAAACAGTAAAGAGATTCATCTTTTTTAATGTGTTTTAAAGTACACATAAAAAAGAAAGGTATCAGAAATAACAGCCGTTAACTCTTTTCAGTAGATTGATTGAAATTGCAGCTACTTTACTTTTTTCTTTAAAGGTGTGGTTGACTGAAAAACCATATTTAATTATTATTTCTGATCATCGGTCACTGAGGTTTTCATGCAGGTTGAACATGATAACAGCCTTTTATACCAATCTCCTGTGTTAGCTTCTGATAGAAAACAGACGGTGAAATACTAGGATTTGAAAATTCTCACATAGCTATGTCACACTGTGAATTTGCATCCATGGCCTCGCCCATCTTGGCTCGTGCCTGCCCACAGGAAGGCTTTAATTATTTTTTTTTTTTTTTGCACAGAGGAGAGAGAGCGGAGAGTGTCTTGGTGATAGTGACGACGCAACATGGCTGAACACATTCTGTTAGCCAATCAGAAGTGAGGTGTGTGCACATCATTAATATTAAAGAGCAATCCTGCTGTTTTCAGCTCACCTCTGCATCAGAAAACTTCTGCATCTCAGAACAAGAACATCATAGCTTTTTTTTAAAAATGACTCATTACCCCTGCTTCACACTTATAGCATCAGCGGAGCGGAACAGCAGCAGAACAGTTTGCTCGTCACTTTTGTTGCGGTCCAGTACGCACCGGGAGAGGCTTAACCATGAAATAGGCCGGTTTCCTCCCTGGACTAGCGAGATTACAAAATCCAGAGTTTAAATCTCGTTTGATTTCACAGTTTGATGTCATATATGATGTTCCTCTCCACTGCCAAGATAGATACACCGCTGCACTTCTGGAACCATACTGGGAGTAAATAAGCCGTTAAGTCACTTGTATTGACATAATCTACACAGATATGAAATTGCATCGCTGCAATACTCTTTTATTTTGAAAAATAATGGGGGATTTACATTGAAACTGTGTGTGATTTCCTGTCTAGCCCTATGTTAACTGAGAAAACGGTTGTGTCCCAGAAGCGGCACGCAAAAATAGAGCCTGATTAAATGTTTAGTGGCACAGCGCGGCGCTACTGGGGCGCGCCTGAAAATTTCCACATCGCGGCTGGTTTGAATCACCCCCATAGACTATGATGGATTCTATATGGGTGCTATTCCTATGCCGTTCCACGCCGCTGATGCTTCCAGTGTGAAGTGGGGTAAGGCATTGATTGACAGTAGAGAACGCTGCAAATGTATTGAATAAACGAGTAAACCACACCTTTAAAAATAATTTCCACTAAATAAAAAGTGTGAGAATGGTTATTTGTCCAGCGACAGTGAAACTCCTAGTCTTATATGGCATTTTTAAAGGTTAGCCGACCATGAAAGCTCCTTTGATAGTGACATCAACAAGGAAAAACAAAGGGACTTAGCCAAGCCAAGAACATTTTCAAACAACTAAGTAAGTGCTATGCACAGCCACCTTTGCACTTGTAGCCCATTATACCTGTCAGATTACTATAAACAAGCATCTGTTGTCCTTAAATTAGCCACGCATGGTTATTATCAGGTCTGCCCGTTTGTCACCAGCTCCAACTTTCACTGCTCCTGCTAGATTGTTGTGGTCATTACTGAAAAAGCGCTCCTACATCTGTGTGTATACATCAACACAATGTTAACAGATCACTGTCAGAACTGGTTACTCCATTTTTTTAACTGCTGGCTCGTTGGTCGTGGATCAGTATATCTAGACCGTAGATTCACAGGCACCTTTAAATGTCTTCTCTCAAAGGCTGTTCTTACGGCATTAATGCAAATGCTGATTCAAGGTTCTTTTATTTATGGGGGGAAATATTTCTTCATCTTAGATCTCAGTCTAGAAGTGGGTCACAGTTTTAATGAAAAGTCAACTCGTTTTGTTTCATCTCTGATGTGACAAACGCTATTCATAAATGAAAAATAAATAAATAAAAGAGCATTTAAGCATCACCGGTTATGTTCTCGTTTTTTCGGCGCATCCTTTGTCTTAATGAGAAATGTGGTATTTGAGATGCTGTCATGTTTCCAGCTGGGGCCCACTCTCTGAATGCTGTTTATTTTGCAGAGCTTATGGCAGCATCTCCGAATCAACATGTAGGAGGGTGACGGGCGGCGTGTTCTCCAAAATTTATTTGATTTCTTTTCAAAGGGTTTGCTGTTCATTAGATGAAGAAACACAAAGGCATTGTGCAAAAAGAAAAGAAATCTTAAACTTATTTACCAGCTTTTTACTGTGTTTCACTTAACTGACAGTAGTAGAACAACTGAGTCCTGTTTTATTATTTTAGTCGCGGTAAGAACCTCAGAAAGCAGAAAGTAAGAAGGGCTCCAGGGAGCGGGATAGCCTGCTCGCACGACCGACTGACACCTGTGTGAGGCTGTAGTCATGCTGGTGGCCTGTGGAGATCTAATATGGACTGAGGGTGTTAAATTACAAGCAGAGCCAGAACACTGTGACCAAGAGCCCTGGCCTTTTGGATCAGCTCATTCACCACGGACGGAGATCAGCGGGACATTAGCTACATGTTAACGCAAAGCTAACGGAGTTTTCCCGGGCATTTTAGCATTACCGCGTTTTTCTTGCCAAAAATGCCCGGAAAAACTTCATTAGCTTCGGATTAGCATGTAGGGAAATTTATTTTGTTGAACACGTGGTGCAACATTCTCTGCTCAACTTGCTATAAAAGTAGGAATTACAGAGAAGTCAGATTGCTTATTAAATGTTAGAATGGCTTGCCCAATAACTCAAACTCTTCTGTCTCTTATAACATAAAAACATTTTCATCCATGCAACTGCTGCTCTGTAAACTTCACTGTTTCCCCTACAATGGCTCAGGTGTGGCGCTGCACCACGGCTGAAAGTCCAGCAAGTTCTAGGGGAAACCTTGAACTCTGTAAACCACAGAGGTGGTTGTGGGTGAAAATCCCAGTAGATCAGCCATTACCCATGCCTCGTTCAAAGTCAATTAAATCTCCATTCTGATTCTCAATTTCCACTTCAGCGACTCTCTATACCCAAACGCTTTAATGTGCAGCCACGTGATTGGCTGGTTCGTTATTTATGTTAACAAGCATGTGAAGACGAGTACCTAATAAGGTAGAGACAGTGAGTTGAGTTGTTCTCAGGGGAACCTAGAATTAGAAATGGCCCTGTGTTAGACTGAAGACACCTCTGCTGGGATGGACCTCAGTCCACAACAACCCTGGAAAACCAAGCAATCAACTTTTCCTTTACAAAAATTCAACCTGCTTAGATTAATGAGGGAAAACCTGAACGTGATCGTCCAAATCCACAGCGACTTCCATTCTAAGTCTTAATCTGCCAGGTGCACTGTCACTGCCTCTGTGTGTTCCTTTCCCTTCTGTCTCTCTGGTTTGGAAGGTGGGCACGTCAAATCCATTACTCAATCTGTTCAATGGAGCGAAGCCCATTTACCAGTTGACTCATTTCAGATGGATCATTTACCCTTTCATCTTCTCTGACAACACGGCTGATGTAACCAGAGGAACCGGAGCAATTTGGCCCGTTTATTCTATTATTTTTACTTTGTTTTAGGCGGATCAGTGTAATCTTTTCTATCTTACTGTACACAGAACACAGTGTGATTGTAGTGCTCTGTTGTTACACTGATAGGACACAATGACTCAGGAGGGGATGTGTTTCATATGTGGGAATGTGATCCAAGCTGGATATATCTGAAAGTGATCTGCCTGTTACCAGTCACAGCCGATCAATCTAAAATAAATAAATAAATAAACAACAAGCAGATTCCCATCATTGGCCAAACGATCGCGCGTCTCAAAACTGTGTCTATGGATAACACGAGTGTTTAAAGAGAGGGGGGAGTTTAGAGCGACACTGAAAAATTAATGGAACAAGACCAACCTCTTCATCACAATCACATCCTGTGTTGGTAATGTGAACAGAGGTAATCCCAAAACATTATGGGATTAATTAGAAACTTGTGCAAAAGCTACTTACTGCCATTCAGCTCATGAGTTGAGCACAAATCCGGCTTTACAACAAGAAGTCAAAAACTTTCTTAGAAGCTACAACAAGCTGCTTTAGCCCAACACGGTCAGTTTAGGAAAGCATGGAGAGCCGTTAGTGGCGCTAACCTGTCTGTTGCGTTCATCAGTGATTCTCTGAATCTGGATCTTTTTCCTCCCCATGGTTCTGGTGTTGAAGCGGGAGGAGCAGGAAGGAAGTGGAATCGTGTGAGGTCACAGATGGCTGTTGTCCTCTTCAGATGCTTCTGTGATTTAGTTTGACCTTTTGTGTGCACCTTAACTCAGTTTTAAAGCACCTGAGCAGAGAGGCTTTCTATGACAGGCTGAAAATAAATAAATAAATAAATAAAATAAAATAAAATAAAAGAGGGAGAAGGAGGAGAGGAAAAAAACGGGGTTCTGTGTGCTGCTCCCTCCTCAGATCATGATCCTGTTTCTGGAGGCGGGTCGTGCACGCTCCGTCGGGATCTTCTGCCCTCTCCTTTACCTCAGCTGGGCAGCTCCTGGAAAACAAAACAAAGGCGTTCGTCAGACTGAGACCGAAAAGGGCAGAGAGAGACTCGGTTTGTATTCTGTGACCCAATTTAGCTACTACAAATACTGCATTTGCCTTGACCCAAACATACACATAAATGACAAAGCAGAGCGTTTGAAGCCCCATCATATCAGAGGCATATTTGTCTGAAATAAAGAGTAGATCGGGATGGGGGGAGATTTTGTGGAGCTCCATGCAGAGCAAGAGGCCCTCAGGAGGGAGGCTGTGCTGTGTCAGCTTCATTAGAGGCATCACCGCCACATCACTGATCGGCTGGTCGCCCACGGCTACCGGCTGCCTAGCCTGGGTCGTCTGACACGCCAAATGTGGCTCCCCAATCAGAGGCACAACAAAAAGATGAGCCACAGAGTCTGGATTCTGCATATTTTCCATTTTCATAACACTTTATTGTCCTATGACAATTCCACTGCAAAAAATATAAATCTGCATTTAAATCTGCATCAAAACAACAGTCAAACACTTCAGGCGAGGAACTTATTCTCTTCTAAAATGTTAAACGGATTTTATAAAAGTTCTGAACGTCTACAAGACAGGATGAGTGGACGTGAGTCCACCATTACTAGCTGGTAATTAATATTAAGCCTTATTAAACCTCTAAAACAATTGCTGACCTAATTTCATGAAGCACCAGCATAAATGAAGGGTGCAAAACAATGTTTATCTAATCCACCCAAGCATCTAACAATCCACAGGAACAGCTTAGGTCGGAGATGCATACGGTGCACGATCGAATACAGACCATGGCTACATTATGGATTCTGTTTTATTTTTATGGGGGAAAAAAGAAGAAATAAAGTCTCAAAAGTGTTTATGCTAATTCATGCAAACTCATGAATGAATGAGATGAAAGAAGCAGAAACTGCAACCAAGGCGAGGACTGTTTTAGACTGCTATTTCTATTTATGTTTCTGCTATAAATATCACATTCACTATATGCATGCAGACTTTGTTTATGTGCCAAATGCACGCACACACACACACACACACACACACACACACACACACACACACACACACACACGTATAACTAGCAGTAGCCAAGTGGCGGCATTACAGAGCCGAACCATCTGGGAAGCCGTGAGCACAGACACAACACCAGCTCCTCGGATTTGTTTGCGTTGCCTCTACCTGGGGGAGCAGCAAAAGAAGAACGCCCTCCATTTACATCCATTCTTAGGAAACAAAGAAGTTGAAACTGTCTGTCATGAGACTGACGTTCCCTTTGTGCGCCTGTGGGCGCTGCATGCTCATTCGGAGACAAGGCATTCGGCTTAGCTTAGATAAGTTGTTTATGAATTATGCACTGGGGGTAAAGACTAGGGGGGTGGAATAAAAGGGTGTTGTGAGCGTTGTAATTGCTTTGTAAAAATACTTGAGGAACTAGAACCTGCTTCAGACCGATTATTACGGGGAGGATCGACGTTGAGTTGCAGCGTGTTATTACCTGCATTTACACTAAGTGAGTTTCAGCTTCTTCAGCAGCATTGTTCGACAAAGCTTCATCTTAAACTGCAACGCTCCGCTGCAAAGGCCCAACACGACAGTTCAATTAAGGTCATTGAACTCCATCCGGATCACCTCATTAGCATTCCTCCAAATGCATCATGCATCACTCAGATTTCAGATGACAAACACTAAAGAGGTGACGCACTCTAAGAAAAATAATAACAAGGTGAGTTCCCATTCTCTCACAGCCCTCGTTAGCAACAGAGCGAGAGACAGACTCGCTCCGTTTACCATCAAGTTCAAAGGCAGCAAACTGAGGGATTTGTCTTTAGGCTGTGGGCCGATCACACATGAAAAGGCTGCTATATCTGCCTGCGGTGGTCAAGTTTTGACCTTTTACCCTTCATGCTGCTGCTTTTCGCTCCCCATGTCTGATGTCAGGCAGTCTTTGCTCTCACATTGGAAGCAGGGGGCCTGGAGTGTGTCTGCTGCCTCTCTGCAAGAGGGATGGAAAGATTCTGGACAGTGGAAAGATAACTGCTGATAATTAAGACTTCACAGCAGCCCTAGATTACAACCCTGAGGATCACCGTCACGTGTTAGAGCATTTTGTTACTCTGATTCTGTTCCAAGCTCTTCCCAACCAAGGGGAAATTGAAAAAACACAGCTGGAATTTAGAATAATGGTTAGATGAAGCACAGGTGGATTTCTTATGTCTAATTTTAGCTAAGAGTGCGAGGAGATTTAGGAAAAGTTGGAAACTGGAATATCCACCATGCAGTGAAAAGGAATACAATTAATCTGTATCAGTAAAGACATCTAATGGTCTATCGCTCTGATTTAGCTGTTTTCAGATATATTTGTTACAAAAACAAAAGAAAACAATGAACCAAAATCCTTTTGGAGCCAGCTCCCAAAACATTACAGGGCAACAGTGATAAAATCTATCAAAGAAAACATTCAGCCTGAAAATGAAAAAAAATAAATAAATAAAATAAAAATTGACAATCTGTTAAAGATCTCAAAGTAAATCAGCTAAATAAAAACATCAAAGTGGGAATAAAAGTGTCTGAATCTAGCATTTGATCATAAGCATGAATATTTCTAACAAAACCAATTGCTGTACAAATATTTAAATTAAATGTACAAGAAGGCATGAGACAGATTTGTAATTATGAATGAATCAAAAAGATTAATGAGGAAATATTCCATATTTATCTCTTGTGTCTGTTACTTTAGTCACTTCATATGTTCATTCCAAATACTTTTGCTAGCCGAAAAGCCTTAAACTGTTTGGGTTTGAACTTTCAAGTCTTCTACAACAGCATCCATACAAACTGGTATCTGGTAAAGCAACACTCTTTTCTGAGTTGCATGAATAAAAAAAAAAGAAAAAGATTCTTTCAGGCGACTGGGCATCCAGGGGTTAAGTGATTTGCCAAAGGGCACGTCAGCCAGACTTTCCCAGACAGTCGCGGTTTTTAAACTAGTGACCTTCCCCTTGACAACCTGCCTGGCTGCTCCCCAGGCTGAGGCTGCCCTCGATACCACCGATACACGGCCACCAATGTTTCTGCTGCAGGCTGAATGTGTCAGAACCCGCAGGGCAGAAGCATGGGGCTGTGATTGAGTCATGACACACAACAAAACCCTCAAAATGCAGCAGGAAGTTGGGGTGTTTTGGCAAGACGGGCTCCACGTCAAGGTTTTTTGTTGGATTTAGGAGAGGAGATGTAATGCAATCAGCTGATGAGGAAAACGTGTGTGTCGACTCTGACTGCCCTGGCGGCAGTGACGAGAGACCACTCAGGCAGAATAAAATACTAAATGATACGTCTTTGCAAAAGCAATAGTTGGGATTTCTGAAACGGGAAACTTTGTGAGAATTAAATTTTATCTAATAAATAAATAAATAATGGTCTCATTCACTTCTTTTTTCCATAAATTTGCTGTGGTCTCTAGAATAAAGATCTGGTGCTCCTGTTTTAGGGGGAGGAGCTTGTCAGAGTAATAGGGAGCCTAAGTCTCCTCCCTTTCTCGTCGGCTCATGGGCCCTCGGAAGAACGAAAAAATGAATGCAAGTCAACGGGGCTAAAAGAGCTATTTTCTAATTTGCTTTTCCTTACGCCCTGGATTGCACATATGTTGTACTGCCCAGCTACTTCTGAACGGCTCCCATCTACCTGAATCCTCTTGCAAAGGCTTACGTCTCAGCCCGGCCGCTCCGGTCATCACAGGATCGTCGGCTAGCAGTGCCTACACCACGCTCAGGACAATCCAGACTCTTCTCATGCATCGTTCCACAAATGTGGAATGACCTACCAATCACTACCAGAACTGCGGCTTCCTTTTCAATTTTCAAGAAACTCCTGAAGACCCTGTTCTTCAGAGAGCATCTTAACTTAGCACCCTCCCTGCACCCGTCCCCCCTCTCTACCATCCACTCCTTTGTTCCCTCCTCTCCATGACTGATGTCAAGTTGTTGTTATTGCTGTTGTTAGCCTCAAGGGAAACATGCCGATTATCACTTGTAAGTCACTTTGGACAAAAGCGTCTGCTAAATACATAAACATAAACATACTTGGGCCAGCTCCTCTGGGGGAATTAGGTGTTCCCTGACCAGCCGAGAGACATAGTCCCTCCAGCGTGTCCTGGTTCCTCCCTTGGGTCTCCTCCCAGTTGGATGTGCCCGGAAAACCTCACCAGGGAGACGTCCAGAAGGCATCCTAACCAGATGCCCGAGCCACCTCAACTGGATCCTGGAGGGTGCATGGGTGTTCGCCCAACTAATCTACATGTGTTTAGTGGATTTGGAGAAGGCGTTCAACCGCGTCCCTTAGGGGGGTACTTCGGGAGTATGGGGTACCAGGCCCTCTGATACAGGCCGTTAGGTCCCAGCATGACCGGTGTCATAGCTTGTTCTGCATTTCCGGCAGTAAGTCGGGCGCGTTCCCTGTGTGAGTTTGACTCCGCCAATGCTGTCCTTTGTCACCGATTCTGTTCCTAACTTTTATGGACAGGGTTTCTAGTGCAGCCAAGGTGTTGAGGGGATTTGTTCTGGTGGCCTAAGGATGTGACGGGAATATTTTATTTAAACTTACAAGATAAAACTATAATAACTGATGCATGTTGCCATGTAAGATTGTTGTTTTAGAGATTTACCAGGATGTCCACTCACTATTAGATAACACGCTGAACAGATGATAAATTGGTCAAGCCTGAGACTATGTTATCTGTCCTCGTGTGTGTGTGTGCGTGTGCGTGTGCGTGTGTGTGTGTGTGTGTGTGTGCGTGCACGCGCACATGCGCAGCTTCCTGCAAGCCCGTCCTTTGCTGCCCAGGCGTGTTAAGTGTTAGTGGAGCAGCCCGGAGCACAGAGATAGCAGTCAGCTGTCGAGGGGAACTGGTGAAAGTTCTGCCCCTAAAAATGCTACAAAATGTAAGCTTCAGCTGAAAACGTCTTTTTTTTTAGACAAATAATTGTCATGAACGTGAAGCAG